TCATTAGTGTATAATCACCTGAAAATAAGAATTGTTGTGTTTTTGTTACCTTAGAATGAGCTGTTTGTATCTACAGAAGGAGTGGGTCCTCTTCTAAGGAGTCTGCTATTTTTAACCTTTATGTTTCTACACAATGGTGGACTCAGGGTGTTTGAGGGGGCGCACAAAGTTGTGATGCATTTAGGGGAAACAGTTTAGTCAAGGTTAGGATTAGCACCCTATTACATTTTGTCCACTGGAGCACCCTAAAAGGCACAGTCATGTTTTATCTAGCACATAGGCATCCAAGAGGGCCCTTTGCAGTGTTTTTTTCAAACATGGGGACACCAGGGTTTTCACAGCCACTGTAGTTTCTCTTACACACGTGGAACGTGAGCCGTATTCAGTTCTCTCTCTTGATGCCACTAAATCCTACACACCGGTCATTTAAGTCAGAGACAGAGAGGGTCCAGTTCGAATGTGTCTGGATTATATTTAACAATACCGGTAAGAATGACTGCAAATAAAATCAAGAATCGCTGGGAAAGAAACAACGATGAAAAGTAATCTCTTTATCCCAGTGCGTATAAAGGATCCATACAGTCTTAACGTTTTTGAAGGAAGTATTCAAGAGATCCATGTACTCTGCAATTCTGTACCAACTGAAAATTCCACAATACATGATCAATGAAAATTTATCAAAGTGAAAAATAAAGCTCCTTCCACTGAATGAAGGCAACGAGATACAATCTACAGCTGGAAAATGGTAGATTAGTGGAAAGATTAAATATTTAGGTAAGATATTCCTGGAGCTGTCTGAAGCACCATCTGCAAATTATTTTATCTAATAATATTCCCTTGCTGTGAGCCGTTCCTCTATTTGTGTACAGTAGTGTATATTTAATTTAGTCTCTTTTCCAGTCTAAATACACTTACAGACACAGCTATGAATGGGAATATGTCAGGTTTTTGCAGTGTGATTTGTGTTTCTTGCCTGTTTCTTGGCGCAGGGTGAGCAGTCGGACCAAGGTCCAAACTCTGTCAGCAGGCAGTTGATTGGACAGCTCTGCTCGTTACATGCTCTCCATTCTCGTTTCGGACACAGATTTTCACAGCTTTTAGCCCAGAAATATTCATCTTTATGAAATATCCTGTTGAAAAAATATGAAAGTTAATTTTACATAGAGCAGCTGTTGGCCTTGTCCACATTAGGCATTTGAATTTCACAACAATAACTGACAACAGCAGAGGAAACATATCTTTGGCTCACAGCAGTTTCAGTTTTGTTAAATTCGTCAGAATGAAAATGTCATACTCTGTGTCTGACTTGTATCGGTGCTATCTCACCTGTCCTTGTACTGTGAACCGTGGTTGCAGGTCCTGGAGCAGGCAGACCAGGGTCCCCAGGAGAACCGCTCACAGTAACAGGCCAGACCAGCTGATATGTAGCCAAAGAGCTGTAGAAGCAGGACCAAGCAGCTGGAAGGAGCCATGAGGGCAGTTCAAACTGGTTTTACCTCCTCTGAAAATAATTTGATGACCAGACCATCATTTAGTCATTTAGTCAAATAATTTATTGTATTTTGCATAGCGCTATAAAATCAAACAATATTTATTCTCCATTAACATCTCAACATCAATAATCTACTCATAATCAAAGGATGACTTGATGCCAACACATTCTCCACAGAGGAACAACCTTTTCTCAACATGTGAACGTGATTAGACTGTGCAGACATTCTTCAGCTGTACTCTACTCAGGGCAGCTTTTAAAACATTTTTTTCTCAAACATATTAAAGTGATTCATTAAACTTTATTTCCAAATGTTTTTATGCAATAGCTACTACACACTTTACATTGAGACTAAATATATTTTTGATGCACATACAATTTTTTTCTTTTAGTCAGGCAGTGTAAGTTTTAGTAGCACATAGCATATTTCATAAATAGAGTGATTTCACTTTTTAAAATTATACAAAGCATCAAAAACGTCATGGTGCAGGTTTGAATGTTAAATGAAAAAAGTTAATTCAGTTTTTATTTCTGCAATATTTAATTCAGTTCAGTCAACATGCTTTAAGAAAGCAAAATCTGACTCACCACGTATACTGGCGTCCTCTTCAGCAGATATTAGAGCATATGCTTTAGTTTGGCTCCCTTGTTTGGTTGTATAATTTGACAGGTAGAAGTCTTCTCACTAAGTTGACTCTACACTGCAGGCAGAACTGAATCTGACTGGTTTGTGTCTGTGGGGCCAGCAGCAATATAAAACCTCGCCCTGTGATTTATCATGGGAATCCAGTTGTTTTGGGGGAGGTTTAAACTTATATTGCCCAATCTCAAAGCTAAAAATTCTACTTTCTTAATAATCCTGAAACACAGAAAACAAAAACACATAAGGTTCTTACATAACCCTCTTGTCCCTCCTAGTTACGGGAAGTAAAGCTCTGGAGATTCCTGGCTGCAGAGACGTAAACCAGATGTTTGAGACTTGACAGTTGGAGATACTGAGAGGGAGAAAACTTTTGCAACAACATTGCAACTGGTCCGTGTTGTAAAAGGCACAAAAGTGATTTCAGCCAATGTGTAAAACTGCAACACTGTAACTCAAAGTGTATACAGAGAAATGTATGAAGAACTGCTAAGTGAATAACTTGAACTTATTTTCATATATTACACGTATTACCTCTGCCAAGGAGGTTATGTTTTTGGTGCCATTTTTGGGTTTGTTGCTTGTCTTATTTAGGAAAAAATACCTTTGATAGTGGAGGAAAAGCAAATTCCCCTAACTCAATGTAGTACATTTGTTGAACATAATTATTTAAAAGAACATCATTTTTTATTTGTTTATGTTGTGTTTTTATGTACTACAAGGAGTTTTTAAATGGTTATGAAACCATTAATACTGATCCCTCTATGACCTACATAAACAAACAAAGCAATCAGTAAAAACACTGGCTATTTCTGTAGTTATTCTTAAGGTCTGCTACCAGATCGGACTTGTAAAAGAAAGCAAATTACTGTAAATGTTGAACTATTCCTCTAAGATAAAAAAAGAAATATCACCTTATTTGTATATAAAACTTTATTCACGTTATAAAATGTCCTAAGCTGTACATTGGTTTAGCTGTGGATTCTCTACATTGCAGGACACACTAACTACACATGGCCTACTCTTGGTCATATACATGCCAAAACAAAGAATTTAGCAATTTAGACATCAACATTTTAGATTACATTAAAGAATTCAAAAAAAGTTCACAAACACAAATTTACATATTACATTGCACTGACATGTTGATGGGAAAATGGCTGTAGTAGAATGCTTCAGATTAAGACTTTATGAGTGGATTTAAATTTTTTTTGTGTGTTTGGTTTTTTCAATTCCTCTGTTTCTATATGCGGCGCATCTGCAAAGCCCTTGTGATGGGAAACTGAAACTGAAAGTAAAAAAACAAGACTAAAAGCCCTGCTAGTTTACCCTAGAGCCTGAAATGGTCATTACAACTGAAAATATTAAAGTGTCGGGGAAATGAACAACACTGATGAAGTAGCTATTCTTTATAATGGAGCATTAGAGCAACCATAATATCAGGAGTTGCAATTTTACAGGAAAATAAATCTTCTTATTATAATAATAAAGTCACAGGGAGCAGGGTTTCTGCAGGTTCCAACTTGGACTTTTTAAAAACCTTTATAAATGCAATTTAAGGACCTATTTTATGTCCACACTGACTAAAAAAAGGTACGAAAGATGTGAAGAAAAACTGGTATTGGTTTCATCTCGTTTTCGTGTTGTAGCTGTTAGAGCAAAATTATTAACAATTTCTCCCCAAAACACATTTAAAATCTAGACCGAAAAATGCCAGGGGTCACATAAATGATTACAAATCATCCTCCCTCAATCTGCTTAAGATGTCTAAAAGGCAAGCTTTGTAACAGCTTTTAATAATCTGGCATACAGTTTACTTTTACACACGCACTGTTGAATAAATTCAAAATACTTTTTTTGTATAGAAAAAGAAATTACATAATTTGGGCCAATGGACCCTTCATAAGTCCCACCCCTTTTTGTTCTGGGCTCCAATAACAGCAAACATTGTTCAGAACTTTGGTCAACTTTCTCATTTCCTGTACTTAGATATGCTACGTGCTAGGCTAATCTAAGTTGAAAAGACA